ACTCGCTCGTCCATCACAGAATCGGCAAGGGATTCATCCTTCTGGTCCTCGACTTCTTCTCAGTTGCTCAGGCTAAGTGGTTCTCACGAGCTTCAGGCCCAGCCGGAGAAGGACAGCCGGGAGACAGGGCCACGTCCTGCTGTGACTGCTCTGTCTCTGCAGGGGCTCGGGGCGGGGACTTTGGCGCGCTTCAGGGAATGGCTGGGTCAGCCCATCTCCTTATTTCCTTCCCGCGGTGTGACCCATCAGGGAGCCGGGACAGCAGCACTGGCCCTGCAGGAGCTCAGGGACCACTCGCTGCCACTGCTGTCCTCCAGGCGACCAGGTTCCCACCCCCGTCATCCTCCTCTGTCCTCTGGGCATGGGTCCCCTGACCACCTCGCTGGAATGAACATGTCCCCACCCCCACCCTCAGGATCTTGGCCTTGCTTCCCCAAGTCTGATCCTCAGACACAGAGGGGAGGTTCACTTCCACGCCAGGAGGGGACTGTGTCCCACAGGGAGCTGCACTCTGTACCTTCGGAGGTCCTCTGCCTCCAAACTGGTGACCCCCACTTTGTAGCTCTCTGAAGTCCAGACTTAGATGCCAAGAGCCTTGCTCATAACAGACACTGTTAAACATTTAACACGTCTGGAAGTGGCCCCCACACTTCTCCGAGTCTGGGCCCTGCTCGCGCGTTTGTTCTGGGGTCCTTGGTCCTGGTGACATGTGACTCGGAAGGTGAGGAGGTGAGAGATCTCATCTGCCTTCCCCGCTGCTGGCTCGACACTCAACAGGCCTTAACGCGTCCCCTCTGTCCAGGTGCTCAGGCCAAAGGCTCCATCGGCAAAGCCCGTGGGCCCGTCTCCACGCCTCCAGACCGGACACCTCCTGGGCCTCTGAGTGCCACCAGGCACTCCTGCCCCCTCCCGGGTCACTTCGCAGGCCCCTCGGGCTCTGGCCCCCAGCCCTCCTTCCGCCAGCGCCCTGGGAGGCTGCGACTCCCCGGGGGCGCCCCTTGGCCACGCCCACTTCCGGAGAGGGCGGGCTCCGTCTGGAGCACGTGACTGTTCGGCTCGCCGAAGATGGCGGCGCCCAGAGCGGAAGACCGGAAGGTGCTGGTGGGAGTCGCCAACAGCCGGGTGTTCAGTCCGTCCGGCCCTGCATCCCTCCCTGGGGGCAACAGTCAGACGAGGCGGTGTGGAGCCCGAGGGTCCTGGCCGCGCTGCCCCCCTCCCCTCGGCCCAGCCACCTGCCTTGGCCACCCACTTCCTCTCTGAGCCTCGGCCCTAGCACTGCGCCCGGCACGTAGTAGGAGTTCTCTAAATACCTCCTGAGGGTGCGGACCCAGGAATGACGGGGCAGAAGGTAGAGGCCCCTCTCGCCTCCTCACCTTGGTGACCTCTGGGAAGTCTGAGCCATGTGTCACCAGCCCGGAAGACTCTGGAATAAAGGAAAAGCCAGAGGGACCCTCAGCTCAGCTCTCAAGGTGACCGTGAGCAGCAAGGAGAAGCCAGAACCCAGAGAGGATGGAAACAAACATTTATGGCATATGTGGTGCAGGCCTGGCAGGGAGCTGGAGGCTCAGAGAAGATGAGGGGCCAGCCTGAGGCTGCACCGCTGGGAGGAGGAAGGAGGTAGAGACCAGGTGACTTTCTGAGCCCCACCGTGATTCAGGCACCGGCCCCACCCATTTCTCGTTCCACCTCTGGGCTTGGTCTCTGTAGAGTCTGGTCACAACCTCTGGGGACCCTTCTCCAGGAGCGACACATCCCTGTTCTGAAAAGGGTCCTTTTCAGCCCCTCACAGGTGTCTTCACTGGGGCCAGGTGCTATGTCCAGCCCTCACCATGGGAAGCTTAGGGATGAGAGATGCTCCGTGGATGGGCCTTAATATGCTAACGTGCCCTTTTCTCCAATTCAGTCATCCATCGAGCTCCTACTCCAGGCAGGGCTTCACGGCCAGGCCTGCTGCTTTTGAGGCATGTGTGACATTTTGCAGACTGTCCCCTTCAGGGTAAAAGACAGATATTTCCCACGCCCCAGCACCAGCCCTGCCTTGAGCACCTTAAGCCCAGGCATTGGCGCATAGGAGGGACCCTGGAAATAGCCCTTTAATTGACTAGAATGGAAAGAAGTGGTCTCATTTCTCCAAGGCGTTGCCATGGTGACTTCTCTCTCACTGCCCTCTTTCTCCCAGCCTCCAGGGAACAGCGTTCCCCTGAATGAGCTCTTCAGGTGGCACAAGGGTCTCTGTTGTCACTGAGAGGATGCCTCTCACCCTTTGGGGACCCCAACCCACCAGATGAGTGCCTGACTCAGGTGAACAGGTGGATTCCCCACAGCCTCATCCCCAGTGGGATAGAGCCCCCTAGGGAGCTGCGTCTTCCTGCTCCCTCAGGATCACACCTCTTCACAGGGGTCCCTGAAAGCCTGAAAGTGCCCAGGAGGTTGCGAGCAGCTGACAGGGCTTCCAGAGCCGCAGACAGAAATGGGTGGCCCAGCAAAGCCAACCTGGCCCGTCTGAGAGAGAGTGGCTCAGCTGGCTGGGACACGGACCCAGGACTCCGAGCGTGCCTCGTACCAATCCTTTGACATCTAGCCATAACCAAGAGGCCAGTCCAGGGTACTCAGCATCACTTCTCGAACCCACAAGTGTAAGTGCAGGTGTGTGTGCCTGATGTGCTTGTGTCTGAGTGTGCTTTGGGAGTGCAACGATGTCCCTGTTGCTTGGAAACACTGCTCTTTGGTGAGGTTTGCAAGCTGGGGGCCATGTCTCATGGTCTGCAAAGGCTGGTGGACACACAGGCGAAGGCGGGAGAAGGGAACCAGCCTTCGGCATCTTGGACGCTCAGTGAGGCGTTCTCAGCCAGGTGTATGTGTGCTGGGCACTGGGCTCCATCGGGGGGCAGGCGGGCTGGTCCACTTGCACCGGATCCCAGGTCTGAAGGAGGCAGATGCCACACAGCTCATGATCTAATTCCACTGCCCTGTGGGGGCCCCTGTGTGTGGGTGTCAGAGTGGGTGGGCCAGCGTGGGCAGGTGGCCTTGAGCCCAGATGCCCTGGGGACCAGGGACCAGCTCTGGCCTGACTACTCTCCTGCAACCCTGGCTTTCTTCAGTCCAGTCACCAATGTCAGAAACCAGCGGCCTTGCTTAGGGCGGCTGCTACTCTTCGGTGTGTCCCCCGTCTCAATAGCCTGTGTTGCAGGTGCTCCAGGCAGGGCCTGCACCATCTCCCCTCCACGGCCTCCACGCGTGGGGAGAGGCTGTGAGGACCCTCCCAGCCAGCACGGCTCAGCCTGCAGCCCCTTCGGCGCCAGCCTGCGCCTGGCCTTGCCCTGGGGCCCGAGCTTAGCCCTTGTGGGCTTTTCTGAAATCCTGCTGCTCCCTCCCTGACCCCCGGGGTGGAGGGAGGACTCAGGGGTGCAGACGAAGCCCCAGTAGCAGGTGTGTGGGAGGCCCCTTCTCCCCTGCAGGGGCGCAGGCGGCTGGGGCGGCCCTGGGCACGGGGGGCTGCCAGGCACCAGGCACGTGAGCCCAACCTGAGCCTCTGGGCAAGCCGGCCTCACTCTGGCCTGTCTCCCCGTCTGCAGGATGGGGTGGGCACTGCGGACGACCCCAGGCCCCAGGCCCCAGCCCCGACTCTGCCCCAGGCCGGCCCAGCCCTGCTGTCTCACTCCAAAGTCAGCAAGGAAAGGGGGCCCCCGGGACTAGAGTTCTCAATGGCGAGTGAGCTGTGAGGTCATGAAGTGTAAAATACAGGGGGTCTGGGTCTTTTGGGGAAGGGGGTGGGGAGGTATTAGGTTTCTTTCTTTACTTTAATTTTTTTTCTTTTACTGGAGGTACTGGGGATTGAATCCAGGACCTCGTGCCTGCTAAGCATGCGCTCTACCACTCAGCTATACCCTCCCTGCAAAAACAGGACACCTGGGAGGGTCACGCCGCTCAGCCCGCTGCCCTCATACATGAGGCATCCGACATTCAGGAAGGTGTCCTGGAGTGAGTAGAATTACATTGTTGGGTGAAGAACCTGTATCTGTGGGCTGGCAGGCGAGCCTGGGCGGCGGTGTCGCACATGTGTTTGTCCATTGCTGGCCATTCCCCAGCCCCGGGCTACCTGGGCCCAGTCTCACCACAGTCTGGGGGACCTGAGGGGGCTGCCGGACAGGAAGGAGCCGGTCTTCCCGCCCCTAGCCCTAGTTGTTGTTGCTTCAGTGTCAGCAGGAGGCAGAGCTGCTTTTTAGCTGTGCGGCCTTGGGCAAGTTACTTCACTTCTCTGTGTCTGTTACCTCATCTCCAAGGCCTCTGATTGCACCCTGTATTGGGGGGCTGTGGGTGTGGACTGGGAGGAAACGGAGGCCAGGGGCTCAGGGTTGCAGAGGCAGAGGTGTGTGGGGCTTGTCCCCGGTCTGAGGAGGGGCCAGCCTCGGTGTCCCTATCTGGGCAGTCAAGAGCCCAGATGCCCCTCGCACTGCTGTGCGGGACTGTAGGTGGGAACCCTGGGCCTCGGTGACCCTCGGGGTCTTAGCGCCACTGGGAGCTGTTGACAGTTCTCGGCCCCTGTGTCCGTCCAGGCTTGGGTCCTGACCACGTCCTCTGCTCACGGAGAAGCCCGCCTCCCGCCTGCCGCCGCGTGGAGGCAGAGGGCAGAGTTGCTTACATTAACTTCCAGGAGCCCCGGCGTTCTCCGAAGATGTTTCCTAACTCATTCCGGAACACAGACGGATGATTTTTAATAAAGCAGCCTTTTCGGGCCTGAATCACTGTAACTGCAGACGTGAGGGCAGATTTACTCCCCGCCGGCCTCCCCGCCGGCCTCCCCGCCGCCGCAGGCAGCCTTCTTGTTCAGAAGACAATTTGTTGCTTTGGGCTGTTTGGGATTTTTTTTAAGCAGAGGTCTCAGCTTGGGTTTCCATTCGCCCAGGGCAGCAGGGGCAGGAGGTAGGGAGCTGGCAGCCCCCACACCCCATCTGATGGCAGGAGGGAAGGGCCCCTGACCAGGCAACAGGGTCCCAGCTGTGCCACTGTCTCCTGCTGGGCCTGGGTCCACGGGCCGGGCCGGCCTTCCCTGCCCTCAGCGGGCCTCACAGAGGCCCTGACCCATGCCAGCCACAGCCTCTCACTGTGCTTAGGCTACAGGGTTCTCTGTTCCAGGGACAGAGCAGCTTGGGTTCCGAGCACACAGAATCAAGCCTTGTCATCACCAAAGTTTCTGAGGTCACGTGTCCCCTGCCATCAGCTTCCCAGCTGGTCCTTCAGTTCTCCCTTTGGCTGAAGCCAGCCTTTTAGCTGGGGCCCTGGCCCCGCTGTGAACCCACTGACATGCTAAGGCCTTGGGCAAGTCACCTCTGGTATGTGGGCCTCAGTTTTCTGATCTATAAAATGGGTCCACCTTCATTTTCCCAGCCCGACTCCAGTAGGACTGGCATGGCGACCCAAGGAGCACATGTTCCATGTTCCCAGGACACAGGTGAGCAGACGATGGCCCAGGATGACAGGTGCACTGACTACTGAGGGGACTAGAGTCCAGGCGTGGGATCTTTTACTGTAGCCCTGTTTTGCGGACCTATTAATCATTAGTAGTACCATTGGGATCTTCGGGGTGCCCAGGGTGCTGTGAGCTCCCCTCCTCCCGGCTGTGCCCTGGGGAACTCTGACATGAACGTCTTCCTCCTCAGATCAAGCAGAAAGCTGCCCCCTTCGCCTCCCCCCGAGGGCCTTCCACCAATCAGGTCACTGCCTCTGAGGCCCTCAGGACACAGCTGTTCTTCTGGATGTGCCCAGGCCAGCAGTCTGTCCATCTGCTCCATTTCTGGGCTCCAGGCCTAGAGAGGAGAGCCAGCCAGCCCAAGCTCCTCCACTGGCCTGCCTGCCGGGACCCTCACCTCTGATGGCTCCCGATTCCACCCTCTGTCCCGGCCCTGCGGGACCACTGCATGCCCCTCACCCTCCCCAGGTCCCCCAGGCTTGGCCACTGTGTCCCTGCTCGCCTGACTGATGCAGGTGTCGTTGCCTGTTGGCTGTGTGTTCTACCGAGAGGCCTGGTCAGAGGGACATAGAGATCTGCTGTTTGAACCTCTCAGTCTCCTTGCTAGATGAGTAGAAAAGTGCCAGCACCAGCCGTGGTGACAGCCGGTGTTTCCTGAGCTCTTGCGGAGCTGTGGACGTGCAGCGCTGTGGTCCCCCGTCTCCATCCCCTGTGGCCTGGCTGCCCTGTCTCACTCCTCATGGGAACACTGGGGAGGGTGCAGGAAGGGAGCCTGTGGATACCATGGGGAGGATGGAGGGAGGCACTGCAGGCATGACGCTTGGCAGGACTCGGTAAACGCTGATTCCACCACCGATTTGAGAGCAACCATATTACTGGCCCTGTTTTAGGATCCTGGAGGCTGAGACCTTAAAGGGAGCTGCCACCCTGCCCAAACCCACCAGAGATTTGGGGCCCAGGACCTGACAGCCAGAGATGCTTTTTCTGCTGCACCCTGTGGTGCCTCCTGGTCACTGACGGGGCCTCACCGATGGGAGGTGGGGGAGTGCCAGGAGGTTGGGTGCAGGAGGGGTGAGGGGGTGGCCCCTAGGCAGGCCCCTTAGGGGGACCCGCCCCCTCCCTCCCTCCCTCCGTACCCCGCTTTGTTAATCATCATCTTTGAATGATCCCCCATATTTTCTGCCCCCTCTGTCTCCCAGGCTGGGCCAGTTTGGGGACCCCCAATGCTCACAATGCTGTTGCGGTGGGGGGAGAACTCGGGTCTGGGACTGCGCACCTGTGTTCTGGCCCCTCGTCTCCAGGCTGTGAGGACCCCTTCACCCGACCCACAGGTGGGCTCACAGTGGGGAAGGGGCTTTTGTGGCAGGTGGCCAGCAAGATGTCTGGGCACGTGGGAAAGGGGAGCCTGTCCAGGGGAGGTCAGAGACTTGCACCCAAGACCAGAGTTCCCGCCGCTCAGGCCAGAACTCCCGAGAGCCAGCAGGCGGGGCCTGCTCCTGCCAGAACACCCTCTGTGTGTGTGCCCCGGCTCTAATCACATCTTTGGTCCTTGTTCCTTGCGTCTTCTGCCTGCTTGTCAACCCCGAGAGGCCCAAGGCTGGCTGTGTCCAGCCTTCACACCCGAGGAAGGCCTGTGCAAGGCAGTCGTGATCTGATGGCTTCCTCTGAGCAGCTCTGCGTGTGAATCCCTCTGCCCACTAAGGGTGCACGGAGGTGGCTTTCTGAAGGTCACACAGCTAGTTTCACAGGCCCTTGGGGGTGCACCCTGGCTTTACCCCAACTTGACAAGGTGGGGAGGCTAGAGACCAGAGAGGTGAAGTGATTTGCCACCAGGGATGGGGTCCCCTTCCTCTCGTCTCCCCCTCAGGCAGGGTGGTCCTGCCTCCCCATCCTCCCGCTGGCCTCCCCGTCCCTGCCAGTGCAGTACTGTCTCCAGCTCCCAGGGGGCGCTGCGGGCCCGCGGCTGGCTTCCTGCCGCCGCCTGGTGCTGCGTGTTTCCCAATCAATAGAAGACGCTCAGTCCCGAGATGGCGCTACCAGAGTCTTCGCACATCTGCATCGGAAAGAGGCCAAAATGAGAAGTCTTTTCCTGTTGGGGGAAAAAATGCAAAAGGAGAAAGGGAGACTTTGCCTGACAGATTAGAAAATTTTCCACTTCCCAGCGTTTGAACGAAGTATTTGTGTTTCTCGTGCCCAATTACCCAGGCTGCGAAAGGCGCGTGGCCGCGGCGCCCAGCGCAGTGATCCTGGCAGGGCGTCTGCGGGGATTTACGGGCGAGGCGGCAGGTGCCAACGCAGGTCTGCCAGAGCGGGGTCTGTGCGGCCCGCCTTCCACTCAGGCTTGACCTTGGAAAAGCCACGGGGCCCTCGAGTCGGCATCACAAGGACGCTGAGAAGGCCAAAACGTTTCCTCGGACGCATGGAGCACCTACAGATAAAACGGATGAATATTTGTACGCCCATTTGGAGAGGTCACGGTGCTTTTGAAGTCTGATGACCTAGGCGGCCCTGGGAAGTGGGGAGGAGCCGCACGCTGGGGCGGGGACCGAGAGGTCATGGGTGAGGGAGTGTGCAGGGCCACCCGGAAGCCAGCAGCAGGAAGGGGCCCAGCCCCGACCCCAGCTGCCTGCCCTGGATCTTGGACGGGCTGTGCTGGGAGCCTGGGGCCAGTCGCAGAGTGCCTGGGGGCGAGGGGGCTGGGCCTGCCTCCCGGGCCTGGGGGCGGGGGGCCTGGGGTGCAGCCGAGGATGTTTGTTGTGGAGGAGACTCGTGCTGTGCCTAAGTTGAAGCCCAGCTGGTAGGAAATCACAGGGACCCCCGTCTGTTGAGCCGCTGATCTCAATCCAAGGAAATGTGAAGTGATCGCCCTGGGAGACACAGGCTTCCAAGGCCTGGGGAGCTGGGCCCCAAGGTTTCCTCCAGCCTGGGAACCTGAGGGGGTTGGAGAGACGCTGGCTTCTGGGAGAGTCCTTTCTCAGCCTCAGGTGTTCAAAATGGAGCCCCTGCCTCCACCTCCAGCCTGTTCCTCCCGTGGTACCTCCCCCCACTGTCACAGGGGCTCAGTGCCCTCCTCCCCACCCCTCTCTCAGCCGTCACCTGGGACAGTCCTTCTTGGCACCTCCTTCCTGACTCTCCCCACCTGTTCTAGCCACCACCAGGTCCTGTCAACTCTGCGCTGTGACCTCTCGCTGTGCCCCTTCTCTGTGTCCCAGTGGCTGCCGCCCCAGCCCCACTGATCCTCCTGCTGCCACTCTCTGCCCTGTGCAATGGCCAAGGTCATCTTTTAAAAATGCAAATCAGAGCGAATCACTCCCTTACGAAATTGCAGAGCCCACATTGTGCCTCCAGGCCATGCGCAGTGCACGTCCCGCGCCATCGCTGCTGCGTTTGCCTTGGTGCAGTTTGCTCCCATCACACGGCATGTGGCGGGGGGCGCTCTCTGCTGCTGTGTTTATTCATTCCTGTGCCCCGAGGTGTGATGGTTCCTGGCATGGACTAGGTGCTCATTAATACTTGCTGACTGATGAATGAGCTGGCATTTGGCAAGGGGGTTGGGGGAGCCTTCAGCCAGGAATTGCTGAACGGAGGAGAGCTTGCTGAGAGTGGAGGAGGCAGCAAGGGCAGAGGTGGAGGAGGGAAGGGTCCACATGTGTGGAGGACCACAGGGCAGGTGAGCAGGAGGATGGCGCTGAGTTTCTGAGGGTCTGGCGTGCACACAGGGCAGGAGCGTGGCTCAGCAGCAGGCTCTGGGGTGGCCTGAGGGCTTTATCCCCTGAGAGCTCTTTCCAAGATAGGACTGGCTTCAAAGCCCTGAGCCTGGGCAGAGGCTCCTGGGGCTCAGCTCTGCCTCTCCAGGCAGTGTGGCTATGGGCAAGTCACCCAGCCTCTCCGTGTCCTGAACGTCATCAGTAAACAGTCATAATGCCCCTACTGGAGTGGATGTGAGGACATGGTGGCCGGCCATGCTGGAGCTGTGCCCAGCACAGTCAGCTCTCCTGGTCTGTGTTTCAGAGAACTGCCTCCAGAGCCTCAGGGAGGAGGGGGACTGGAGGCAGGGAGGCCAGGCTGAGGCTGAGTCCGTCATCCAAGCAAGGGCTCAGCCAGGCAGTGACCGGGACAGGAAGGAGGGGGGTGAGTCCCAGAGGTGCCCTGCTCTCCTGGAATGAAGTGGTGTGGACGGTTCCCTGAATGCCTGCCCCACCTTCCAAGATGGTTGGCCATGTGGCAACTGCCTTGGGTGGTACTATTCCCAGGAGGCCGTGTGGGGGGTGGAGTGGGGCTGACAGCGGGCCAAAGCTCAACTCCTGTCCTACGCAGACCCCTGGCTCTGCCCCCAGGGCCATGCCTCTCCCAGCTGCAGTCTCCCCCTAACCCACTCGCACCCAGGCCCGTCGCCCTGCCTGCACTTTGCCGGTCCAGCAGGCCCCAGGCCGTTTTGGGTGGTCAGCTTTGCTTTGCATGATTCTGCTGAGCCTGGATGTCACGGGTGAGCCAGGGACCCTTGGGCTTCTCTCTTCAGGACTCCCCGGGGCCTTGGGAGCCAGCTGTGGGCTCCCTGTCTCCTCAGCTGCATTTGTCAGCACTGCAAGGCTGTGTGTGTCCAGAAGAGTGCGGAAGACCCCCAGCCCTGCGTGCAGGCGTGCACGCAGGGCCGTCCTCTCTGGGGGACTCCCAGCCGGAGTCAGCGCCACCTACCAACCCTACCCAAACAGGGAGGGGCTCCGAAACAAGTGACTCACCTTGCGGAAGACAAGTGAGCTGCTAGAGGCTTTCAACAAGGCGGAAGTTATCTCATCTGGGAGTGTCTACTCAACCCACAAGCAACCGCGGCCCAGGAGACCTCAGTGGCTCCCTCGGGGACTAGTGAGGCTGGGAGCTTTCTAGCCTTGGGGGCATCTTGCAGCCTCCCTGCAGCAGCGCAGGAACCAGACGCCTGCTTCCCGCAGCGTCCTTCTGGGTTCTCCCCTTGCCCACTCCCCACTGTCTTCCCTCTCTTTTCCCTGCCCAAATCAACCAGCCCAGGAGTCTGGGGCCCCAGAGTGACCTTGAAGCAGCTGGCTGGGAGGCTGCGACTCTGAGCTGAAGTGGCTCCCTGCTCCTCCTCCTTTTCCATTCCTCGTCTCCCTCCTCCTCCTCTTCCTTCCTCTCCTCTTCCTCCTCCTCCTCTTCCTTCCTCTCCTCTTCCTCCAGCTGAGAGCCCCAGATCTGTGCGTTTCCTTGGGGAATGACTCACACATTTGCCTCCCACCTGCATTGCCAGCTTCCCAAATCTTCATTCAAAAGGGTCGTTGCAAGCAGATTTCCAAAGGAGGCAGCCTGGGGATGTGACAGGCAGCCAGGAGTGCTCCCTGTGGGCAGCGGGAGGGAGCCTGGCTTGGCTCTCCACTGACAATGGACAGAATCCAATCCTGCCTTCCAATCCTAACATTTAGTTTGACCTGGGGCTGGTTCCCTCACCTTGCTGGGCT